CTTTTTATAGATATTACACACAACGCATGTCTAGCAACACAAACATACAGAAGATTGAGCACTTGTTAAGATTTTTCATTTGCTAGTTTCTTAATTGGATTACTGGCTTCAGCGTGGAGTCCTTGGAGAAACAAGGCCAGGTAGCATACATTTTTTAGAGCCTAATAAGCAGGTATAGCTGAAGGCAAAGACAGGTCCCTAAAATTAAGGGTGCTGTTTTTTACTGGATCTTGGGTCCAGTATAAACAGTGTAGTGCTTCTACCATGCTCTTCATTGCAAGGCAACCCAAAGCCAATTGGCTTATTTTGTAATTAGCCCATGCGATGGTTATTTTTATGTGTCAGTTTTAGTATAAGTATATAACTTAAAGAAGATTGGAGATCTTAAGTGGCTAAAAGATGTCCAGATGGCTGGTTAAACACAATTTCTGGAGGTATCTGTGAGGGTATTTTCAGAAGAGATTAGCATTTGAGATTAGCATTTGAATCAGTAGACTGAAGATCTCCCTCACCAGTGAGGTGGGTATCATGCAACACATTGAGGGCCCCAAAAGAATGAAAAGGCAAAAGAAAGGACAAATTTACTCTGTGATACGATTTGGCTCTGTGTCCCCACCCAAATCTCATTTTGAATTGTAATCCCCACGTGTGGAGGGAGGGAGGTGATTGGATCATGGGGGCAGTTTCCTTCATGCCGTTCTTGTGGTACTGAGGGAGTTCTCAGGAGATCTGGTGGTTTTATAAATGGCTTTCCCCTGCGCTTTTCACTTTGTCTCCTGCCTGCCGCCATGTAAGAGGTGCCTGCTTCCCCTTCTGCCACGATTGGAAGTTCCCTGAGGCCTCCCCAGCCATATGGAACTGTGAGTCAACTAAAACTCATTTGTTTATAATTACTCAGTCTCAGGTGGTATCTTTATAGCAGTGTGAGAACGAATTAATACACTCTGCTTGAGCTGGGTTTCGCAGAACTCTTCTCAAGTTCTGTGAAACTACACATCTGAGTAGGGCAGTGCTTTTGTATTTTTTCCTGAAAAGTACAGAAGAGTGATATATGTGAATGTTTACCTAAGCAATACCTTTCCTGTTTATAGCAGAAGGAGCCACTGTATTTTCTTTAAAGCATGGAATAGTAATGATTTATTTTCCTCACAGCTGCAGATCCTTGGATTAATAGTTGTTTTTTTTCAATTTTGATGCTCTATACTGCTTGTTAAATACTGTGTATAATTTGGGATGTTGAGCAGTATGTTTTGTGATCTCATATCAGATTTAGATTGAAAGCTCAAATCTTTTCAGGAAAATGTCTGTTTTTTCTCATTTTATTGAAGTTGTAGTTCACAGTAGTAATAACGGTGTATATTATAGTGGATGAAATTTTTTTCCCCCCCAAAAGCCATTAATGTGTAAAACACCTAGCTCAGGGCCACTGTGCCAGGAGGTGCTTAGTATAAATTCGTTTCTTCTTTCTTTTCTTGTTTCTGGATCATGGAGCAATTTCATGTAAGAATGGAGTAAATTTCACCTCTCAGAAGAATATTTTGAAATGAGCAATTTCCCTGTTTGACTACACAGACATCTAGTATGCTTGCATAAAAGGAAAAGTCATATGAGAACATCTGAATTTAGAAGTACTTGAAAGTAAAAGACTGAAGACATAAAGGAAATGTTAGCAGGATGATAAATGTCCATTGATTTAAACTGACAGGAGCTCTGTTCTGCTTGATAGCATATTCTTGTAGGGAAAGCTGATCCTAGCTGATGGCTAGCTCTGGAGCAGGCTTGTTGAAGCTGTTCATAAATTTATTTATTTATTTTTTTAGAGACAGTATCTCACTCTGTCACCCAGGCTGGAGTATGGTGGCATGATTATGATTCCCTGCAGCTTGAACCCCTGGGCTCAAGTGACCCTCCTACTTTAGGCTCCCAAGTAGCTTGCATGAGAGCAGTGTGCCACCTGTTCATAAATTTAGAACAATATTTAGTGTCAAGTTAGTGATTTTTCTAAGGGCGGAACAGGGATTTCTACAAGGTGAACATGCTTCTGTAATCACCATGCAGGTCAGGAAATAAAACGTTATTTATATTCCATATTTCTTTATGCGATGTCTAGACACTATTTTCATATTCCCCAGAGGTAACTACTGTCCTGATTGAAAACACCATAGATTTGGACTGGGTGCGGTGGCTCACACCTGTAATCCCAGCACTTTGGGGGGCCGAGGCAGGCAGATCACAAGGTCAGGAGATCGAGACCATCCTGGCTAAAATGGTGAAACCCCATCTCTACTAAAAATACAAAAAATTAGCCAGGCATGATGGTGGGCGCTTGTAGTCCCAACTACTCGGGAGGCTGAGGCAGGAGAATGACTTGAACCTGGGAGGCGGAGCTTGCAGTGAGCCGAGATTGTGCCACTGCACTCCAGCCTGGGAGACAGAGCAAGATTGTCTCAAAACAAAACAAAACAAAACAAAACATAGATTTTATGTGATTTAAAAATATATGGACACAGTATTATTTAGCCTAAAAAAGGAAGAGAATTTGGTCACCTTGATACTATGCTAAGTGAAATAAGCCATAACAAAAAGACAAATAATGAAGCTGGGTGTGGTGGCACATGCCTGTAATCCGAGCCACTTAGACTGAGGCAGGAGGATTGCTTGAACCTAGAAATTAGAGGCTGTAGTATGCCATGATCACAACAGTTAATAGCTATTACAATCCAGCCTGGGCAATATTAGCAAGACCCTCTCTCTCATTCTCTGTCTCTCTCTAAAGACAAATACTTAATGATTGCATTTTATTTTTAATTTATTTTTTGAGACAGGGTCTCACTGTGTCATCCAGGCTGGAGTAAAGTGGCACGATCTTGGCTCACTGCAACCTCTGCCTCCTGGGCTTAAGGGATTCCCCATTTTTCTCTTTTTAGTAGAGACGGAATTTCACCATGTTGCCCAGACTGGTCTCAAACTCCTGAGCTCAAGCCATCTGCCTGCCTTGGCTGCGCAAAGTGTTGGGATTACAGGTGTGGCCACTGTGCCTGGCCTAAATGAATCCATTTAAATGAGGTATCTAAAAGTAGTAAAATTCATAGAAAGTATTAATAGAATGGTAGTTGCCGGGGCTTGGGGGATGGGGAAATGGAGAGTTAATGTTCAATGGATTTTTAGGGTTTTGTTTGTTTGTTTGTTTGTTTTTGAGACAGGGTCTTCCTATATGTCGCAGAGGCTGGAGTGCAGTGGCATGATCATGGTTCATTGTAGTCTCAAACTCTTGGGCTCAAGTGATCCTCTTGCCCTGCCTCAGCCTGCTCAGTAGCTGGGACCACAGGCACGAGCCTGTAAGTTTTTGTCTTTAATTTTTGATACAGTAAATGTGTTGAAATGCAGTTATCGCAGATATCAAGAATTAGTATAAATCTAAGTAATTAAGGCAGAGTGGTATTGTCACAAGGATTGACAAATATATCAGTGGCATAGACTAGACTTGTATTAGGCTGTTTTTATTTTGCTATAAAGGAATACCTGAGTAATTTATAAAGAAAAGAGGTTTATTTGGCTTATGGTTCTGGAGGCTGCACAAGTGTGGTGCCGGTATCTGCTCAGCTTCTGAGGGGGAGCTTCTGAGGGGGGCCTCAGGGAGCTTTTACTCATGGCAGAAGGTGAAGTGGGACCAGGCATATCACATGGCAAGAGCTGGAGCAAGAGAGAGGGTTAGAGGAGGTGCCACATACTTCAAACAACCAGATCTCGCAAGAACTCACTCACTATTGTGAAGACAGCACCAAGAGGATGGTGCCCACCCATTCCTGAGAAATCCACCCCAGTCATCCAGTCACTTCCCACCAGGCCCCACCTCCAACATTGGGGATTACATTTAGACATGAGATTTTGGGGGACAAATACCCAAAGTATATCAAGACTTTGGAAACAGGTCCACACTGGTATGACACTTGATTTATGACAAAAATAGTAATAACAGAGCAGTTGAGATAGGCCTGGGTTTTGAGAGCTTGGGTCTCTTGGTTCCTTGGAGAAGCAATTCTCAAATATTTTGGTGTCAGGGCCCCTTTACATTCTGTTGTTTATGTGGGTTCTATCTATTGCTATTACTGTATTAGAAATTGAAACTGAGAACTTAAAAAATATTCATTTTGAGAAAATAAACCTAGGTAACATTAACATAAATGGTATATCTTTATGAAAATTTTAAGATTTAGTGACAATGACATTGTTTTACATTGTTTCAAAAATTCTTTAATGTCTGCCTTGATAGAAGACCAATGTACCTTCTTCTGCATTCAATCTGATGCAATATATTTTTTTGGTTGAAATATATGAAAATAGACTGGGCGCGGTGGCTCACTCCTGTAATCTCAGCACTTTGGGAGGCTGAGGTGGGTGGATCACGAGGTCAGGAGTTCAAGACCAGCTGGCCAACATAGTGAAACCCCGTCTCTACTAAAAATACAAAAAAATTTAGCTGGTTGTGGTGTCAGGTGCCTGTAGTCCCAGCTATTTGGGAGGCTGAGGCAGGAGAATTGCTTTAACCCGAGAGGCGGAGGTTGCAGTGAGCCAAGATCACGCCACTGCACTCCAGCCTGGGCGACACAGTGAGACTCTGTCTCAAAACAAAAAAAGAAATATGAAAATAATCTGTCCTCAAATAGATGCGTAGTTGGAAAAGGGAGGACCATGTTCATAGTTTTTTCATGTTAATAGTCTTTTCACATAATTGTAGATCTTCTTTGATACCACACCAAAACTTGGCAAGTGGTAATTTTTTTTTTTTTTTGAGACGGAGTCTTGTTCTGTCGCCCAGGCTGGAGTGCAGTGGCGCAATCTCAGCTCACACTGCAAGCTTCGCCTCCTAGGTTCACCCCATTCTCCTGCCTCAGCTTCCCGAGTAGCTGGGACTACAGGCGCCCACCACCACGCCTGGATGATTTTTTGTATTTTTGATAGAGACAGGGTTTCACCCTGTTAGCCAGGATGGTCTCGATCTCCTGACCTTGTGATCTGCCCGCCTCGGCCTCCCAAAGTGCTGGGATTACAGGCGTGAACCACTCTGCCTGACCTGGAAAGGTCTGTTTCTTAGTAGAATCCCACTCTTTACCTACCACAAATCTAGTAACATCCTGTTAGATTAATGCCACAAACATTTTGTTGAGCTCCTATTCTATGTGTTAGATATGAGGCATTCTAAAATGGAAAACCCAATCCTAGCCTTAAAATAGTTAAATGTCTGTTGATAATTAGATAATTTAACACCCATAGCATACTAAAGTAACTATTGTGAAAGTGTAGATGAAAGAAAAATTAAGTTTGCCTTGGTAAGCCAAGGACCTCTTCTAACATTATAATTAGCATTTGAGCTGAGACTTAAAGGGTGGTTAGGGTTGCCAGGGTGGACAGGAAGTACCAGGGCCTGTGGCACTTACCATGTTCTGCTCAGTGTAACTCAGGAGCGTGGTTGGGTTTAAGAATGTGGTGAGGAAACTGGGCAGTAGGGCCATGTAATGCAAAGAAGCTTAGATTTTATTCTGAATAGGATGGGGAGCCATTGAAGAATGTGATACAATCAGTTTTCTGTATTAGAAGGAGTCTAGACTAGAGAGGAATGAGGACAAAGGCAGAGCAGTCTTGGTAACCCCGTGGTTGAAAGAGATACTGGGGGCCAAATTAGGGCATTTGGGGGATAAAGATGAGGTGGAAAACATCAAAAGATATTTAGGAAACAGATTGGATGGGTTTGAGGGGGCTTGATTAGATTGGGGGTAATTTAGGTTAGGGGCATAGGCCCTGGAGTCAGGCAGACCTGGGCTCAAATCCTGACTCTGTCACTTCTTAAAGGAATGGCTCTGGACAATTAACCCAAATCTCAGCTTCTTCACCTATAAAATAGGGAGAGTAATTCCTGCTTTATAAGACCCTTAAGAAGATTTGATAAGATACATGCAAAGCTCTTGCATGTTGAGTAAACATATGGAAGCTACTTTTGTTTTTGTGAGGATGACTCCCAGGTATCTATCTGATTTAGGCACCTGGGTTGGTTCCATTCACCAAGTAGGGAATGCAGGAAGGGGAGAGCTGGTGTGGAGTGGAGGAGGGTCAAGGCAGGAGCTCACCTGGGGACTTGTGGAAGTATTTACTAGGAATTTCAAGTGCAGAAGGGACACCTGGCCTGGAGATAGAGATGTGGGAATTATTTTAGTAGACCTAGGTTCATGCCCTTGAATGAGATGTTCTTGAGTTCAGGGAGCAGGAAAGGGCATATAGAGTGTATCAATTTGCTAGGTTCGTCATTAACAAAGTAGCACAGACTGGGTGGTTTAAATGTTTAAATGACAGGAATATATTTTCTCACAGGTCTGGAGGTAGACGTTGAAGATGCAGGTGTCACCAGGTTTGGTTTCTTCTGAGGCCTCTTGCCTTGGCTTGTAGATGCCACCCTCTCCTTTTGTCCTCATGTAGTCTTTTCTCTTTGCGTGTGTGTGTCTGAGTCCAGATTTCTTACTGGATTAAGATGCACCCTGAAAATCTCATATTAATTTAATTACCTTTTTAAAGACCTTTTTTCCTAATACTGTGATGTTCTGAGGACCTGGGGATTAGGGCTTCAACATATGAATTTTAGGAGGACACAATTCAGCCCCTAACATAGAATGAGGGACTATTTAAAACAGGCAGGGGAGGGGAGAGGACTGTCCAGAGAAGTAGAAGGCAAACATGTGAGTCTGTGAGAATAAAGGGAGGGCTCTAGGGAGGGAAGAGTCAACTGCAAACCTCCCAAATTCCTTTTGTAGTCACTGATACCAAATTGTTTTATTTTTTAAATGCTTTCTTTTTCTAAAATGGAGGCTCTTAATAGGAATGCTGAAGTAAATGTTTAATAGGGTTTGCCCTACTCATACTCATTTGCAAAATGGTTATGAATCAGAGTCCATTCTATGAAGTTTTTATGCTAGAAAGTACTGAATACCTTCTTGCTGTGGTTTAAAATCTACAAGAGAATGGCCTTGAAATGTATTTGTTCAAGCAGATGAGATGTCATGACTAATGATTTAGAAATCATGGTTTTCTGTTTAAAACTTTCCACCAAGACTCTTTATCATTACTAAGTTCCAACTGCATGGTAGTTTTGAATGCTTAAATTTTTTTAAGGAGGTTTAAGGATAATATTGATAAATTCAGAAATCACTCTGCTATGCGCCTTGTCCTTCACCCTTTCCCCAGTTTCTGTTAATAATTTTGTTAACACGTCCTGTTAATTCTGCTTCATATCTCAAGTGTATTTACTTCTTTGCAGGTCTGCTACTACCAGCTAGTCCAAGCCACCACCAACTCTGCCATGGAACCTTTTAATTGGACTCCCTCCTTCCATTCTTGTCCTTTCTAGAGAAATCTTAAACGAAAAACAAGTCATACTGTGTCATTGCCTGATTGAAACCCTCAGCATCTTCTCATTACACTTTGAGTAAAATCCAGACTCCCTACCATACCTGCAAAACCTGCACGATGAAGACCCTGCCCTCTTGACTGGCCTCCTCTTCCACACCTCATTCACGGCCTGCTTTCGGCTTCTTGAAGATACGGAGGCTGTGGCTGCCCCAGGGCCTTGGCGTGTTTGGCATGCCCTTCCCCTGGTTTTCAAATGATCCCCCCAGTTTCAACTTAAATGTCACCTTGGCAGAGGTGCCGTTCTTCACTGCCACAGTTAAAATTGCGCCTTCTCCCTTTCATATTCTAGTATATGCCATGTGATTTATTTGTTTGCTTATTTTTGAGAGAGTCTTCACATGGCATTTCCCACTTGAATATTTCAAGGTTTTGATAGCACTGGCGAGAGGTAGGAGTGAAGTTAGAGCAGATTTTAGAGGGAGAACAACCCTTAAGGAATGCTGAAGTAAATGTTTAATAGGGTTTGCCCTAGACTAGAGAGGAATGAGGACAAAGGCAGAGCAGTCTTGGTAACCCCTTGGTTGAAAGAGATACTGGGGGCCAAATTAGGGCATTTGGGGGAT